CGGCACACTAGTGTGCCGCGGCACAGTGGTTGAAAAACACTGTTCTAGTTAATGGAAGCCTTCTAGTTAGGTATGAAATTATGCCAATAGATAGAGATAGATAGATGGATGGATGGATGGATGGATGGATGGATGGATGGATGGATGGATAGATAGATAGATAGATAGATAGAGATAGATATAGATAGATATAGATAGATGATAGTTGGATGGTTGGATGGTTGGATGGATGGATAGATATCCTCTCTATCTGAGGAAAGAGACGGGGGATAGATAGATTGATAGATAGATAGATAGATAGATAGATAGATAGATAGATAGATAGATAGATAGATAGATAGATAGATAGTGATGGACAGACACAGACAATTAACAACAGGAAGCAATCGATGCTTAATGCTAAATTATGCTCAACACCAAGACAAAATCAAGGACCCTCAGAGCCCTGATAAAGACACAACATAGCTCCTACTCACCACATTCTGCTTAGTTGTGATTTCCAAGGTTTGGATGACATACAGTCTGTTGCGACGTCGCATGCTTTCTACTTCCTCAAATCGGATTTCACCATATTTCTGGAGAAGACCAAGAGGCTATTTTACTGCTTATCAAGTCTGAATACACAACGCCTGCACCACAAGGCAGCCAACTCCTTCAGTGTTGGAGGTTTCCAAAATTACTATTCCCATCCTCCCCCTCCCACTCCTCCCCCTTCATCATCATCACCACCACTCCAAATCTTATGAACCTACGGACATTCACAAAAAGGAGGCCACCCCTTCTAAAATTGTATACCACAACATATCTACAGAGATCCTCTCCCATCCAGGTCCTGGTTGTCCCAAAGGTGCTTTTTATTTCAAGAGGCAACTGGACTTTCTGGTTTTTCTCTGAAGATGTTTCGCTTCTCATCCAAGAAGCTTCTTCAGCTGAGAGAAACTGAAGAAGCTTCTTGGATGAGAAGCACATCATCATCAAAGAGGAACCAAGAAAGTCCAGTTGAAAAAACAGACCACCACATCCAGATGTGAGGTCCACATCTGAAACACAAAGACATCCATGGACACACGGACAATCGTTCAACCTCTGAGACCAACCAAGTGGCTTCAGGCCTGCCGCTCTTGGCTTCAATAACCCTTTGAAGCAAAATGCAGATTGTCACAACGACAAGAGTTTCTCCACCCCACCTGATTAACTCGGGGAATTATATTCCTTTGTCTAATTTCTTTTTTCCTTTTGAAGGCAGGCCTCCAAGAGGCCCTCAAGGCTGCAATCTGGCCAAGTATCGGTTCTTCTCCTAAGGTAAAGGTGGAGGAGAAGAAAGGGTTGAACAAACCTCGTTGGACTCTCGAATGAGGTCCGTGATGTCCACTCTGGGGTGAGGAGTTTTGCCCTCGTTCATCCCAGAGGCCTGCTGGACGGCTGGAGGCAGCGGACTGTCCTTGTTGGTCACGCTCTCAAAAAATCTGGATTTGGGGAAAAGGAGCGCATGAATGTGTTCCCTGGCATGCGTTAACTTCTCTGCGCACAGACATATTATGAGCCAGTTTGGACTAGGCTAAAAAAACGGGAGATGGTGAGTTCTAGTCCCGCCTTAAGCATGAAAGTCAGCTGGATGACTCCAGGCCAAACACTGGGAGACTGGGAGTTCTAGTCCCACCTTAAGCATGAAAACACACTGAGTGACTGGCCAATCACCAGGGTACAGAGAGTTCTAGTCCTGCCTCAGGCATGAAACCCAGCTGGGTGACTCCGGGCCAATCACTAGGAGACTGGGATTTCTAGTCCTGCCTCAGGCATGAAACCCAGCTGGGTGACTCCGGGCCAATCACTAGGAGACTGGGATTTCTAGTCCTGCCTCAGGCATGAAACCCAGCTGGGTGACTCCGGGCCAATCACTAGGAGACTGGGAGTTCTAGTCCCGCCTTAAGCATGAAAACTCACTGAGTGACTTTTGCCAATCACTAGGAGACTGGGAGTTCTAGTCCCTCCTTAAGCATGAAAGCCAGCTGGGTGACTTTGGGCCAATCACCAGGCGATGGTGACCTAGTCCTGCTTTCTGCATGAAAGCTGACAGGGTGACTCTCCCACCTCACAGGGTCGTTGTTCTTGTAGGGGAAAGAGGGGGAGGGAGGTGTGTGGGATACGTTCCCTGCCTTACTTCCAAAAATAATGAAAATGGAGAGCAAGCAGACAAACAGGCCCACAACCACAGCACGAGAGGGAGCCCAACCCTTAGCTCGAGACACAGCGCCCCGCAGGCCCACGATCAGCCCCCAAGCGCACCTGCTGAGCACAGTGACGGCTTCCGCGTCGTCCTTGCAGGCCACCAGCTTCTCCAGGTTGTAGTCCAGCACGGCCAGGCCCAGCTGCAAGGTGGCCTTGATCCCGTCGTAGAAAAAGCAATCGACTGCGTTGACGGCACTCTCGATGGGCAGCACGCTGACGAAGAGGGTGAGGAACCAGGAGAGCGAGACGGAGGAGAAGAAAGTCATGTCGGTCATGTGCTCCGTCAGCTGAGGTAAGTACTCGCGGATCAGGTCCTCAAACACGGCCTGGTCGACCAAGGCGCCTGAAAGAGACGGACGGTTTAGCCTGGCAGAAGGAGCAAAGGTGAACCCCTACACCCACGATTTGCAAAGGGAGGCATCAGAGGTTGGCCGACAGCAGCTACTCCACGACTACGGCCGCAATCAAGCCCAAAATTGGCTCAGAAACCAAACACAACGGCCAAACAGACGTCAACGGATAATTGGAACTGTCGAAAAAGCAATTGCTACCAACCTGCCTTCCTGTTCTGACCGAGGCTTCCCATGAGCACAAAGCAGACTCCTGGTCCCAACAAAAACCCCTTTGATTAATTGACTGTGAATTCTGCTCAGCAAAGTCTTTCAAGGGAGGAGGATTTACAGTCACAGACCTTCTCCGGCTTGGAGAGCTGCCAGGCCGAGATCTGCAAAACTTGGCCAGGAGTCTCGGAGAGCCAATTAAGTGAATGAATGGTCTCCTGCAAACTCCCCTTTTGCTCCTCTTTCAGTTCCTCTGGGAGGGGCCATTCACCGTCCACCTGTGGCCTTACTCCCAAGTCAACCCCTGTTCTTTAGCTCTTCCCTTCTCCTGGCAACTCTGCGCATGTGCACACTGGGAAGAGGCTCCAGCTGTTCCTCTGCCTCACTGCTGTCTAGGCAGCTGTTGGCTGGCATATGGCCCTGGCCCCCTCTCTGCCTCCGACACAGAGCCCTCATCGGAGCCTTCCCCAGACTCCAGGACTGGCCCAGGTTCCTCCCCAACCTCCTCCCTGTCTGAATCTGCTGCCAGCTCCATTGGCCGCTGGCGGTCCACAACACTTCCGTTGAGGACCTGTATATTGCACGAGTCAAAACGTCGGCTGTGAAAATATCTACAGACCCCTCACATCCTGAACATAAATTCAACCAAATCCCACCCCTCAAAACAACGTTATAGAGCATTTGTGTCAAATTCAATTTCATTGAAAGGAAAACACTTTACAGGTGGTCCTCACTTAATGACCATTTGTGGGCCGATTGGGGTCCCTTCCAGCTCTCTTCTATTCTGCCTCTGCTCCCACCCCTCATGAAACCCACAGTGAAATCCCACGGAAACGGTACCAATAATTCGGCGGTTGAAATAATCGGGCAGCATCCGTTCGCAGATGGCCACCAGGAGCCAAAATGCTTCCTCTTCTTTGGCATAAAGGAGCAGCACCGACGTCAATATATTCATGGCCTTTAAACAAACATGGATTATTATTATTATTATTATTATTATTATTATTATTATTGTTGTTGTTGTTGTTGTTGTTGTTGTTGTTGTTGCCACGTTGGAGACCAGGGGCTCGGCCTACCTGACAATAGCCGATCTTGGGGTTCCGGTGGGCGTAGGCCGTGAGGACCCTCCGGAGGGCTGAAATGCCCGTGTCGCTCTGGAAGGCGGGGTGCTCGGGCAGTGAGCGGCGCAGATCCCGCTCGATTTCGTCCGTCTCCAGGGTGAACGTCCCAAAGGATATTTCCACGAGCTCCGAGTAATAGCCAGGATGGCTTGCCATGTCATTGACAGCACCTGCCCAGGGGTGTAAGTTGCACAGGAAAAAGACGGTTGAAATTGCGTCTCGACCGACGCAGCTTTGCACAGATGAGGGGAGGGGTCTCCAAAGTCAGAAACTTTTAAAACTTGTGGACTTCAACTCCCAGAATACAAAGGGAGCCGTGACCTCCTTGTTCCAAATCATACCTGAGAACAGAAGCCAAAGTTCTCCCCTTAAGACTTCGGGAATTCCTCTGACCACCAGGTCCCGCGTTTTCTTTGTCCGAAACATACTGACGCCTCGTCCGCACTCTATGAAAAGGATGTTCCAGGATTGCTCTTTCATTTTCTCTTTTAACTAATGGAACAAGGGGACCAAGAAGCCTCTTCAACACACAATCACAAAACACCAGGAAGACCATCAACGGGGTCACGTTAGGGTTAAAATTCAATGAGGAGGAGGAGGGGGGGGGAGGTTGAGAGAGGGAGAGGGAGGGAGGGAGGGAGGGAGTCAGAGGGAGAGGCAGAAGAATACAAAATTAAGAGGCTCTGGCCCAGAATTAAAACATTAGATAGCTACAGACAAAATGCTACCGGCAAGATTTAAACACGGGGTCCTCGAGTTATGGCCATAATTGAGCCTGAAAGTTTTGATGCTGAGACATTTGTTAAGTGATAGCGGTATTGAGAAGCGTATGCAACAAAATGTCACATTAAAAGTATGCTGATTAATGTACATTCAAATGACAATAAAGTTATTATTCTATTCCTTTCCATTCTATTCCTATTCCTGTCCCTTATCCCTTTTCATATTCCATTCCTTATTCCATTAAGTGGATTGTTGCAGGCGTTAAGTGAGTCACATGGCTGTTAAGTGAATCTGGCTTCCCCACTGACTTTGCTTAATCAGGAAGTCGCAAAAGGGGATCACGTGATCCCAGGACATTGTGACTGCCATAAATAGGGCTCAGCTGCTGAAAGTCTTTTGAACCCGTGACCCTAGGGATGGTACAACGGTTGTAAGTGTGAAAAACGGCCGTGTCACTTTTTTTCAGTGCCACTATTAACTTTGGTCAGTAACTGAACTGTTGTAAGTCAAGGAGTATCTGCATAGTATTTGTCCTCAGGGGTTGCGAGGGGCCTTCATGAAGCAGAGCAAACTGCAGCAAACGGAACCCGGATGGAGATGAGCATCCAGGCGCCCCGGAGAGATTTAAACAGAGGGACAGATTCATGCTGGGAGAAATCCAAAGTCACCTCAAGGACCCTGGTGGGAGACCCAACGGGACCTTTCTGGAAGTGGGGAAGCCTCTTCCAAGAAGACCCCTTCAGACCACCAAGAGGGCAGAAGCTCCGTAATCAAAAGTAAAAATTCAGCAAAACGCAGAGAAAGTGAGATATGGCTCCAGCCCTGGATCTCGGTGGAGATTCTCAAGTGATCCCGGTTGCCCCAAAGGTGCTTTTTCTGCAACTGGACCTTCTGGTTTTCCTCTGAGGAGGCTTCGCTTCTCATCCAAGGAGCTTCCTCGGCTTCTTCAGAGCTCGTGAGAGAAGCGGAAGAGACGAAACCTCTTCAAAGAAAATCCAGGAAGCCCAGTTGCCTCTCGGGGGAAGAAAAGCACCTTCTTTGGGGCGAGAGATCTGGGTGTTGGTGGTAGGTAACCGGGATCTCTTCTTACCATCTTGGGATCCAGGTTCTCCGCATCCTGAGGGTGAAAGACGGTCATCAGGGCCTCCGTGCTCACCGTGGCGCTGCTGCCCTTGTGGCTGGCCATCGTCTGCCCCTCGTAGTCCTCCCAGGCGGTGGGGGTCTCTGGGCTGGCCCCGGCCTGAGAGAGAGGCGTCGGGAGAAGCCAAAGCGAAGAAACCCAAAGAAGGAAGGATTAAAACTCTGCAGAAGCCCAGGGACCCCCCCCCCCGTTTGTCTCCTGAAGGGCCTCCCCCTCCCCTCGTTTCTTCAGAAACTACGGTCAGCCTCTAGGAGAAGCCACGATAGGAGCCACGGTGGCACAGTGGTTAGAGCGTAGTACTGCAGGCCACTTCAGCTGACTGCTAGCTGCAGTTCAGCAGTTCAATTCTCACCGGCTGAAGGTTGACTCAGCCTTCCGTCCTTCCGAGGTGGGTCAAATGAGGACCCCGATTGTTGGGGGCAAAAGGCTGACTCTGTAAACCGCTTAGAGAAGGCTGTAAAGCACTGGGAAGCGGTATATAAGTCTAAGTCCCTTGGCTACCTTTCCTTCCCTCCCTCCATCCCTCCTTTCCTTCCCAGTTGTTAGAATGCAGCATTTCACACTAACTCCACCCACAGCCTGGAGTTTGATTCTCACCAGCTCAAGATTGCCTCAGCCTTCCATCCTTCTAAGGTCAGTAAAATGACCGCAATTGTTGGAGGCCATAGGCTGACTCTGTAAACCGCTTAGAGAGGGCTGTAAAATCCCCGTGGAGCCCCGTATCTAAGTCTCACTGCTCTTGCTATTTGGTCATCCAATTGACCCGATTTAATGGATTCACACAACATTCTGAACCCAACGAAGAAAGAGACCAGCTGAGCCAGGAAAAACAAAGGAAGAACCCATAACTGAAATGTCAGCTAACAAAGATGAACCTGTTGTGTGAATCCTGCCACAAAAGTTACTCTAACCCCAACACGTTTAACTGCGCTGGGCAAACACAGCCCGGTTTTTGGTAAGCGCAGTAACACCTTCCTTATTTAGAGCTTTTCCCTCCCAAATGGGCCCTTGAGAAGCCCTCTCTGTGGGTGGCTGCCCTCACATCTGGTGGCAGGGAGTTCCACAGGCCTCCAGGCCCAGGAAAGAGATCTCTGCCCTACAGAGCACCTTTTCCAGGCTCCGCAAACACGGAAGAGGGGGGTTTGGCCCTTACCCCTGCACTGGTGCTGCGATGGGGGCTGAGTGCTGCAGTGCATCTCGTCCTCAGTTTCACCACCAGGGCTTCAAAATCTCTCACTTCCGAGAAGCGGAAAGCCCGGGATCCTTTGGTGGCAACGGTGATGGCCCTGCTGGCGTGGTCAGCCACCTCAACCGAAGTGACCTGCGGGCGTTGGGGGAGGAAGATGGCCCATCAGATGGAGAACCTACCAGCTCCTAGGAGGCCAACTGGGTGCATCTCAAACGCCTCCATCCTTTGAAGGAGGAGGAGACCCTGATGTGGTCAGGAAACCTTGAAAACTGGCCTTTCTTTCCTTCCTTCCTTCCTTCCTTCCTTCCTTGCTTCCTTCCCCTTCCATCTTCCCCCCTCTGCTTTCCTTTCCTTTCTCCTTTCCTTCCTCCTTCATCGTCTCTCCCTTCCTCCTCTTCCTTCCCCTTCCCTCTCCCTCTCCTCTGCTTTCCTTTCCTTCTCTCTTTTTCCTTCCCTTCCCTTCCCTTTTTCCCTCAGCCTCTCCCTTCCTTCCTCTTCCCTCCCCCTTTCCTTTCTCCTTCATCATCTCTCCCTTCCTCCTTCCTTCCTTTCCCTTCCCTCTCCCTCCACTTTCCTTTCCTTTCCCTTCCCTCTTTTTCCTTTCCTTTCCTTTCCTTCCTCCTCCATGGTCTCTCCCTCCTTCCCTCCCTCCCTATCCATCCACCTCTTGGCCAAGGAAAGGCCCCTGAGGCTTGAAGGTTGGCCAAGAGCTCCTGCTGACCTCTCTGATGGGGACGATGAGGCTGCAGAGGCAGCCGTCTTGACTGGCGAAGCAGAGGAAGTTCTCCGAGAGGCACAGCTTCCCCAGGGTGTTGTAGTGGCTGAAGGGCACCCACAGGAAACACTCGTGGACCTCCCGCAGCGTCTCCTCGCTGGGCAGCCTGAAGAAGGCGTTGAACTGCTCGCTGTGCGCCCGGTTCTCCAGCCCCCTGTGGGCCAAAAGGGAAGAAGCGACGCCTCAGTTTCCCCAGGTGGGAAGGAGGTTTGCGCCCGGGGCTCTTCCCCTCTTCCCCTCTGGGAAACTGGAGCCCCAATTCGCAAAATCATGCACAGGTGGGCTCTGACCCGTTTTACGACCTTTCTGTGTGAAAAACGGACATAAGTCACTTTTTTCAGTGCCGTGATAACTTTGAACGGTCACTAAATGAAGCGTTGTAAATCCAGGAGTCCCTGCAGTGAGTTCTAAATTGCTCTCTGGGGAAACCTTCGTCCAAGAGAGAAACGAAGCCTCCACTTTCTAGATTAATGGGAGGCAAACCCTCTCCAAAAGCTCCCGTCAATCCTGGGCCTTTGCGCCAACAGACCCAGCCCAGAGTCCGGCCCACCCTTAAAAAGCCAAATGCAGGAAGCCTCGACTTACGACAGTCCCTTCAGTGGCCAAGTTACAACGGGACTGAAAAATGTAACTTATGACTGTTTTCCACATTTACGACTGTTGCAGCTTCCCCTTGGTCATCTGACCCCCATCCCCACCTCCTTCCCTTCCATCCCATTGTCCTTCCCTTCATTCCACCTCCTTCCTTTCCTTCCTCCCTTCCTTCCTTCTTTTCCCTCTCCTTCCTTTCCTTCCCATCTCTTCCCTTCCTCCCTTCCTCCCTTTCCTTCTCTTCCCTTCCTTCCCCCCCTTCCTTTCCTTCTCCTTCCTTTCCTTCCCATCTCTTTCCTTCCTTCCTTTCCTTCTCTTTCCTTCCCTTCTCCTTCCTCCCTTTCCTTCTCCTTCCTTTCCTTCCCATCTCTTCCCTTCCTCCCTTCTTT